CGCCTTCCCATATAGGAGATTGATAAATACCGCCCCTGGTTGAATCAGAGGGTATATGATAGGTAACGAGGCTCGATTTCGAATTATGAAAAGTGCATTTGCTATATAAATTAGCAAGAAGAATGTTCAGTAGGCAGTTTCCGGGCACCACACAAGTGCTAATCATGTCTTTGTAGAAGTTCTCCTTTTTGCCTTTTTTTTAGAGAGCATCGAGTTCAACTCCAACTGCCGCGTTGCATTATTCAATATGGGGTGCTTTTTTTTGTACGACTAAAAGTTTTGATGCAATTCCGGACTCTAACAATGAAGAGAGGAGAACTTTCAAAATTAGTCTATCACTATAATGATAGACTAATTTTACTTATAAGTAGATGATAATGATTTGAGAGCAGTTTTATGTGTAAGAAACGAAAATGAGTTAAACAACCACCCTTTTAACTTAAGTTTGGCATATGAAACTCTCGTTCAGAGAAGTTTTCCACGCATCGGATTCACCTAGCTTCTTCGTATAAAATCGCCCTTCGTTCCTATTCCCTTAGCATGTACACACTATCTTCCAAATGTGCACTCAAGTCAAGTCATGGTCAGGGAAAAGCTCGCTTTGCACTTCATTCACACTTCATTCACTTCCCTTAACTCAAATGTTCCAAACTTCTGCTTTTTCCTTCTCCTCAGATTTAACCAAGAAGGAATTTTCTTTGTTTCTTTGCGCCAGATCCCTGCAACAGCTCTTCTTTCCCTATTGATTTTTAGATTTGACATTAGCCACTTTCGTAATTATTGCTATTGAAGTCAATGATTACTAGAAATCAGATCTCGACTAAAAATGGTAAGGTAAAGTAGACCTTGCTTGTGAAGCACATAAGCAATGTTTCTCAAAACGCCTCCATTTAGGAAAGACTCAAGGGGACACAAAATTCCTTCCAGCTGATCCGACGCGCATGCATCGAGTAAGATTGCATCGAAGATTTCACCTGAATCTAAATGCACACCCTATGCCACAGTACACAACAAACCTTTCCTGACTGCCTCAGCTATGAATGTAACACCATCGCTTACAACAACACGATGATGATCATCTTCAACAAGACCAAACCATTTCCTAGCCATATTTACCACTTGACGGCTAATTTCCACTACAGTTATATTCATCTGAAAATGCTCATCTCATTTCAAGTTTTTTCGAAAACCTAAACTGACCTGAGGAGAGACCTGATGTAAAAACCCATCGATTGTGCTACCTCCGAGACCAATTGAGAGGATTTGAGCTTTACATTTGTTGGTAAATTTGATGTGATCATTGAGGGCTAATGCCTCTACAATATCATGACTTTTCCAGTTTATTCAAGCAAAGTTTTCAAACGCTACCGATCATCATGTAATAATAGTAATTTCGTGCAAGCACTGTCCTATCTATCTTCCATTGCGAAGTGTCAAGGTCTTTTCTCGTTAACTCTGAAACACATAAATGTAGCTTCTCAGAAGCACGAATAGAAAACAAACGGTTTCTTGTTTGCACTATAGAGCAGATTTACGCCGAACCTATAGATGCGTTAATTCCAGTATATTATATTTGTTTACTTACAACTGCATTTGAGTTAAAGATTTCGCACTTATGAGTAATCGGTAAGTGGAAGTTTCTTTTTGAGGAACTAATGGTGCATGTGTAACATTATTTACAAAATGTTTCCAGGTAAATACATAAGCCGCATCAAATATTTTGAACACGTAATAATTCTCGTTTTTGACTTCATTCCTTTATGCAAAAGAGGAAGATAATGCATATTGAATGATGCTTGAAGCAGAATCCATTGAAGGTGCGTGTTGGTCATACGCTGATAAACTGAAACATTTGAACCGTACTTTTTCTGAAAGTGGTTATGAAAATGTTAGGTGGTCCACTTGGATTTTTTCTTACTTCAAAACATAAAAGTTTTGCTTTCAATCCTACCTGGTCTTTTTAAGTGAAAGCAATTCGTGGCGGATGTTTTGTATGTATACAATTTTGAAGTCATCATGCATGAAAAGTAAAGTGCATATTGTGTAATTTTGCTTGTTTATATTTGGTGCTGACACTTTTTGAAGCAGCGTGTAGATCAACTTAGCATTAGAAGGTTTCGTTCTGCTGTCAATGAGTTGTAAAACATGTGGCATTAATCACCATGCAAGTGTCTCTAATTTTTAGTGGCATGTGCGACTGGAAGAT